CTGCTTTAACAATACATCATCCTAATCAACTAGAGTTTAAAACTGACAACTTTACAGTAGGCCAATGTCTTCACAGTATATAACACAGTGAGAATGGCTCTATCTGCAATATTGCTCCTCTGTATGGAAATACATATGGACATATGCTGATAACCACTATATCACCATGGTGAGTAATAAATTAAACTTGGAGGCCCTGCTGGCTATCAACTCTGAGGTTAGTAACAAAGAAGATTCCATTACTCACTTGTATATTTTCTGGCAGTTGAGTATCCTGGCATCTTACAAATTCACTTGTTCCAATAGATTCTTCAGTACTTTTCAGATTATTGCACCAGTTAAATAATTCCGGAGAGAGAAATCTCACTCTTGATCTGACACTCCAATCAACTGGCAGTTCTGTGTGTGTTTCAGATTTGCTTTCTGGTTTCTATTAAGAAAACAGAAAATGTCTCAATTTACACATTTTTTTGCACATTTCCAAACCAAGACATATTCATTACTTTCCCTATTCAAATTCAGTTCATTTTGAAGAAACTGTAATACACTGTAACCTCAATATAATGAACACCATTATAATGAATTTCCTGATATAATGAACACATAGCATGTCTCCCGCTCACAACAAACCCAATGTATTATGTGCTTCATTATAGTGAACATTTCACTATAACAAACTAATTGTATGTCTCCCAAAGAGTTCGTTATAACGAGGCTACAGTGTATAGTGATTCAGATGCACCACGCACATCAGCAATTTGCTTTTTTCAAAATGTCAAAATTTTGTTCCATCATTTTCCAGACAAAGGGCTCAAGTGCTTTTTCATAAAATTTACCTTTTTACACCCAAAATATTGCAAATAATTAGAAATGTCCCATGACACTAGTTGCCATTATGACAAAATATCCTTAGAAGCCAATTTTAAGACAAATATGCTGTAATAGTATAGCTTCCATAATCAGTCCTCTGATTGTGACATTTTGGTCACCATAGCGTTTGGCAATCTAAACAAAATCTGGCAGGCAACAACACTTTCTCAGACGACGTATTGCCTGAGTGTATACTTCGAGGTATCCTTATAATAACCTTATCATTATCAATTATACATCTTTTCCTTCCAAAGATACATCATGGGAATGCAGAAGTCCAAAAAGTTTAGAACAGAATCAGCGAACATCTTTGTGTGATGTCCGGTCAAACCCTGGTGATCTGAATTTTAACATAGTTGATTTTCTGTGCAGTTTTTGTAAAAAATGCTAGCGACTAACACATTTTCACTTGACTACTAAATTTTTCATGGTTGGCCAATGGCCACTAGAAAAACGATTACAGTTTGAGGACTGATAGTCATTCATGTTATCGTGTTCACAAAAGCCATTTACTCAAGCATGACAGAAATGTGTTGATTGAGATGACACTTTCATGCAAGTTGTAAATGTGTCAATCTGTTTACCTGTCAAACTTTCAAATAGATTATAAATAGTCTATAGCAACTGAACAGAGCACTATTGAATTAACATTTCACAACAAAAGATAACACAATTATGGCTTCAGATTACATAATGGTGTGAAGTTTGCAGCCCAGGCTTTATGAAAGGTGTTTATCACTGTACCAAGGTGGACTGACAACTTGCATTCAAGGTGGCATGTATGTTAATATTGGAAACAAACAAAAATGTACTCACTGTGTTGTGATTTAATACTTCAGATTTCCTTTCTGCTTGTTCGTGATTTTCTTTAAAAATCCTCATGTCCAGTGACTTTTGGGGTGTTATCTAAATAACAAGAAAATAAAAATATTTACTGACAAAATAAGGCGTTCAAGTTGTAGTAAACGCTTTGCATCAAAACAGGGTCGGTTGCAGCAAGTGTATTGACATGGACGTTAAGATCTATCCCCGTCCATGAAGAACTATGATCTTGTTTAGTATAACGGAAGTCAGTAATAGAATTAGAAGTCAATTAAAGGAATTTGGTAAACAGTCTATTGTTTCGTCAACCGGGATAAATGATAAAAACAAAGAAGAAATATCATACTTTGAACGGTGAAGACGAATCTAAACTTTTGAACAGTCTTTTAGTACTGTCTGGTTCACTATTCCCACTTTCTTCCCCGCTACTTGTATTGCTGGATGTTGGCAGGTTTGGTTTCTTCCTTGGTGATTCGTGATGCGATTTCCCGCTGGGATATCCGAACGGATTTCTCCTCTTCGCTTGTTTCCTTTTTCCCTCATTGCTCGCATCGCAGTTTTTTTGTTTCAGTACACTAAAGGTGGAACTTAGACTCCTGACATCCATGTTACTTGATTTCTTCTTTCGTCGCATCTTCATAATTTCCGACGGTCTCTTCCATTTCGGTGAGCAACTGACGCAGTCTGCCATTTTGATTCTAGTCAGTTGTGGTTTCGAAATCGGACGAAAACTGAAAACAATCCTATTTTTTCAGATAGCTGAATGTAAACAATCACAACATTAGCTTTACACTTCACGTCACTCTTCGATGATACGAGAATCCGGTGAGACAGCGAACAGCAATCACCGGAAAGACGCAACTACAACAGCAATTATCCCACAGCAAAACAAAGAAGACTCCAATCCGAACTTCCCGCGTTCCGATATTTGCCGAACTTTGCCGAAGGGATAAATTGATTGATTGCGTTCCCCAGACATTCAAAATGCTCACGGTTTCGCGTATTAAATTATATCTGAGAATCTTGTTGTGGTTTTCACGAAAAAATTTTTATATAACCAAATGCTTCAAATTTCCGGTCGCAATATTTGATTGTCTGGATTCGATTAATCGATGAGGGCGCTATCTAACTCCGAGCTCATAGTAACGCAACACCATTGGAGTTTATGAGCATTTAAATTTAATAGACATCTCCATAATGACGACCATTACAATCGACCCCGAGTTTGGCTATGTGATTTTCACATTAATGTTAAGCTGGGTAATGTTGATGTATCTCGGAGTACGGGTTGGAAAAGCGAGAAAGAAGTACGATGTCAAGGTAGGTCAAACCGGGGGTCACACTTACAGAGGACAATGCAGAGTGCATGATTATAGATATTTCAAAACCCAAATCTGGCTGGGACAAACAAACAAATATATATATATATATTTCACTATATTATATTGTCTTAATTCGTAAATTTATATAATAAAACTAAAAAGGCTTTGTTTAAAAATCTTTATCATGATCATGTGACCTTAATTTTCTCATTGTTAGGAACAGAATAATAAATACATGAATGCATTTACAATTGCAATATGTACATGTTAATTTTTTTGGGGGAAAAAAAAGTTGAAGCTACAACCCTTTATTTTTTTTAAGGATTTTTATGTTTGTGCATTAAATGTGGCACCTTGTTTGTCCTTGCTACCCCTGTAAAAAATTAACATTTTACAGATTTGTGGACCTTGTAACTTGTAGACCAGCATTTTGTTAAATTCAACAATATATTTTTCTTGGTTAACTATTACACAAATTGACGTGGCAAACAGATTTGGATGATAATTTTAAATGACAAATCCAGAGACCACTCAAGACATTAGATTTGGGGTGAGGCTAAAAAAACACAACAACAAATGGGTACTCTTATAATGGGTTTTAACTTTTTGTTCATTGCAAACTTTTTGCTTTCGTCTTTGTGGTATAACCTTACAGCAAAAAACTTGTCCATGATATAAAACATACTTTTGACATGTTTCATACAAATAAATGTATTGAATTTATTTGCTGATGAAAGTAGTATGCAACATTGCATTTTAAATTGAAGATAAAACCCTTAAATTTATTTATTTGTGAATTTATTAACAAATATTTACTAGTAGTAATTGAATTAATTAAAGTGACTACCCATAATTCTGTTCACCAGATATGTATCATTTGCTCACTAAATTAGGGGACTGTAATAAATGTATATAAAAAAATTAATTACAAGTAAAACTCCCAAAATACTAATAATAGTCATAAACTAATCTAAAAATGTGCTTTTACTAGTTATTTCCCAGTCATCATAATTATGTTAATTTTTTGCTACAACAGATTACATCATTTTTGCCATTTTGGAAAAACATATTGCGGTATAGTTAGAGGCAGGGTGGGAATTACTAATATTAGTCACAATGGCTATAAACTATTTCATCCTTAATGTATTGTAGTCTTAGATAAATAACGAGAACAAAGAGATCTTCGTAGCAAATTCAGATGTTTGAAATACATGTACTTTTCTCTTAATTCTATATTCTTTTTTTTCAGTACCCTGATATGTACAGTGACAAACATCCTGTATTCAACTGTGTTCAACGAGGACATCAAAATGCGTAAGTTTTTACTTAACATAAAGTAAAATTAAATTCTGCATGTATCAAGCTGTTTTATTTGACTC